GATACTGGACGTCCACAGGTCATCCGAACGGGGACGAACCAGTTGCACTTCCATCTCAATGCAGCACTTCACACTGGACGAATTATATGGTGTAGGCCCGTTGACGAACACGTAACCGGAACATGTCTTGGGGTCGTACGGCTTGGTACATTTCTCCCACATGCCATTTCTGAAATGAACTGTGCTGCAGTTGTAGAAGGACTCGCTGTAGTTCGCAACACCTCAGCAGCATGGGCACAAAATGGTGCGAAGAACGACCGTTCCGTCCTGATACCACGGATTCACCCGATGAGGCGAGAAAGGGCAAGAGGCCTAGTATTGCCAAGACGAGCTGCAGCGCATAAAGCGGTCAACCGGGCTCGGGCAGGGCATCTTGCAAGTCCACTGGCAATGTACCGCACCGGTGCCACAGCCCGCTTTCGTCAAATTCTTCCTTGCATAATCCTGGCAAGTGTTGCCATGCGCATCCATCCAATCCCTTGGTCATGGGGGGGGGGGGGGGAAACCTGAAGACTGCGAAGACCAAAGCAACGACAAGCTTAGCAGGCTTACCAGATCTTAATGACTCCCCCATGCTCTGCTCAGGCAGGTGACGGTTCGTCCACACATGCCACACGATCAGCCGGGGGCAGGAGATCATGCGGAAGCATCATCAGTTGGGTGCTTGGCTTCCAAGTAGCCTTCCGGATTGTGATGTTGTCCATCAGCCAGAAGTACAGCGCGATGTAGGCAACCCATTGCAAACAGTTGAAGCCCATGAAGATGGCGCTGAAGCGGCTATCCTTTCCGCCAAGGAGACCCCACTTCCAACTGTACATGGTCCCGGCGCGCCCAATCAAACACACGATGAAGACGACAGGGAAAAGCTTGGCCGGAATGAACAAACCTTCAGGCTCCTGCCCTTTAGCGAGAACAACTCTCCTCACCCTGGCGCTGTTCTTGCTTTGCCAATACCACACAGCCGTAACCAGGACCAGCTCGAAAGCAATGCCGATGGCAAGCGGAATCCAGAAGTAACGGAACTTCGTGCGGATGAAGTGGTCTTCCTGCTGAGAGGGTCACATGCTTTGCTTCGTCCTAGACGGGTCTGCTCGGACTTTGTGAAGCGCCTTTCGCCTTTCGAAGCCCACTCGTGCCGCACTCGCGCCGCCGTGCGATCGATTCTTGTGTGGGGTGGGCGGTGGGCAGGGCGGCCGCGGCACATGGACTGACCATCCCAATTCCGTATCCTATGCGACCGTGCCCTAAACGCGGACTTTGCGAAGCTGGAGCTAAATCTAAGTCCGTAAGAAGGGCTCACAGCGCACGGAAGCTCAACCGTCGGGCAAAAGCAGACCAAAAAATCTTACCTTGGCCTGTAGGGTCTCGGGTCAGCATTCCCTCCCCTCGTGTCCCGCTTCTCCACAATCGTCACGTCCAGACCACACGTCGGTTCAACGTCACTCTCCGACTCCGAGCTGGAGGTTGCCATCATGGCTCGGGAATTGGTGGGCGCCATGGCCGGCGATCAGCTGGGAGTCGTCATGGGCTCCTGTCCTAACGTCCCCCTGGCTCGGAGCCAAGCATCGTCGAGCTGAGCTCAAGCAGTCGCATGCCCCCAGACAGTCTCACAAACAACCGCGTGTGTTGCTTGTTGGGGAAGCGTGTCCTGCGAGTGCAAGCGCACAGGTCTCTGGACGAGCTGCGGCAATCACACTGACTTAACGTATGCATTTATGCATGCATAGTATGCATGCATGGCAGGATATAGCAGGGTATGTACATGCTGGACAGTATAACCCCAGTAGGTGACGCATGCAGCGCACTTGACTTGGAACACGGCCGAGACATGCCGAGACTCACAGAACAGGCGGCTGTGGCTCGCAGCCTGCCCTGAAGCCTGAAACCTCAAGGGGACTCCAAACAGACCCAAAAACACCCCCGAAGCTAGCAAAGGTCGAAAGCACCTCGGCTCGGGCGCGGCGTCGCGCGGCGCACCGGCGGAGGCCTGGCTTTGAGCCACTTTGAAGCACATTTGACATGGAGGGCTCTTGAACTCGGGATCTGGTTCTAGTTGATCACGTCGACACGTGGATGAAACACGGATGCGATGCAAATCGGGCGTATCTTTGAGCATCGGCCCCATGACCAGCCAACTCATATCGACCCAGGAAAGATGTTAGCCTTCCAGCTGGATCGGCGACGTAAAACTGCAGCCGACTGCCTTCGATGCCTGAGGAGGGTGGTAGTGCCCGGCACACGGAGCGGGCACGATATTGAACTTGAAGCATCCCGGGTCATCAAAACAAAGGGGGGATAGGTAGGTAGGCGAGCGGTGCACTCCGCTGCTGAGCTGCTGCAGAAGAAGAATTCGCGAATGTTCTGTGCTTTGTAGTTTTGGATAGAGGATTTCATAGAGAAGATATACATGAAGGATAGATGCATATAAAGATCGGCGAGTGGATACATGGACAGACACAGGTGGTTGAAACAATACTGTAACCAGCCTTGGTGCTTGGCTATCGGCTACCCCTTCTTTTCTGTCGGAATCAGAAAAGAGAGCTATGGAGAGCTTGCGAGACCCTGGGCCCTAGCCATGGCCAGAGACGGGAATCAAAGCAAAAACTCAAGACTTCATGGGGCCGGGCATGGTACCGGGGCTCGACTGGCTCCTGCAAAGCAGGATTTCTGGTGCTCTGATCCGCGTCGCCACTTCCATGCACTCCGTCCTCTTGTTTCACGAGGGCACCTCAGCAATCGAAAATAGTCCTTGGCTCTTCAAGCCCTGGAGCGCTGAGCTGTGGGCTGTCGACAGGCGCCTCGGGCTTCTGTCGCGAGGTGTCCTCGAGAACATACTCCTCGGAAACGGACTGAAGGATCTCGCTTCTTTGGACAGCTGGTGCTCGCAAACCGCAGCTTCAGACTCGCAGCTTGGGCTTTCTGGTGGGGGGGACTTCGCAGTCAAGACCACACAGGCAGGTCCAAACTGTGCCTTCAAGGCTTGCCTCAGACTCAGTTTCTGGTGCGTTTGACTCCTGCACCTGCATGTCAAGGCCAAGGTCGTCCACTCCTGGCCGGCCGAGGCTTTGCCCCAAAAAGGCACATTTTTCGGAAGTCGAAACTGAAACTTCCCCTCCCTGCTCAGACCTTGAGCAAAGTTTCCTTTTTGAAGTATGGCACGCGCCTCCAGGTAACTTCATTTCATTCATTCTAGCTTTCTCTCCCGAAAGCCAGGCCATTCGGAACGCTTGCAATGAATGGAAACTCCGTTGCAGGAATGCAATCAAATCCGACCTCAAGCAAACTGTTGAGGCTGCCTTCCATGGGCATCGGCGGCAGAGGCATCAGGGCAGGTTCCACAGATGGCAAGGCCTGGGCTGGGCGTTTTGGGCTTCGGGAGACATCTCGGGGTTTTGCGGCAGCTCGCGAGCTCACAGCGAGCCGTCGCTGCCAAGGGACCTGCTCCTCGGACATCTCTGCTTCCTCCTGCGATCTCACTCTGCTTCAGTTTTTCTGCGAAAAACCACAAGCAATTGCTGGGACGACAAGTCCAACCCTTCGGGTGAAGCTGCCCCTCTCAACCTTCAAGGATCCTGCATTATCTTGAATATCAACCATCAACAACCACCTTAAGCGGCTTGTGTTCAAAGTTCCTGGAGCTCGATCACCTCCACCCCTGGCAACTCCTCGCTGGTCTCGCTGTGCCTGCGCGAAAGGCTCATCTCATCGGAAGGACCAGGCTGCCCAGAAGCTACTCAATTGATTGAGCGCACAATCCTAATCGGGAAGGAATTCCGCTTCGCGGCCCTAGCTGCGAAACTGAACGACGCCAAGACAGTGCATTGAAACGCCAATCTGCAATACTTTCTGCTCACCCTCACAGCGGTCATGACAGTCGAGCACTCGCTACGTGCGCCACAAGGGTGAAGAACCGCAAAGGCTGCTGCCGCGCTGATGCGGGTTAAAAAAGCCTCTCAGCGGTACAGGCCGTTGTTGATGCGATCGATGAAGTAGGCAGGGCTGGCAGGCAAGCAGACCAAGTTGCCCTCGTATTTCTTGGCGATGTTCTTGAGCTGATCCGTCATGCCGGGGATGTTGTAGATGTCCGAAACCTGGCTGTAAGGGCCATGGGTGCCGATGAGACCCGCCACGGTAGGGAACATGCCCGGGAACTGGCGGTAGGCCTGGATGTTGGCGTTGTTGATATCGACCTTGTCCGTTCCACCCAGGTACTTGATACCGTCATAGTCCACCATCGCCTGCGCGGCACCAGGTGCGAGGGCCACTGTGGCTGCCGCGGCGGTGGCGGCGACTTGCTGCCTCTTGGAGTTCAACCAGCCCATCAGAGCACCCACGCCGAAGCCAGTGGCCAGCACCCCGAACACTCCGGAGGTCTCGGTCTCCTCCATCTCCAGCTGCTCCAGCTGCATCTGAGGCGCCGGCTGCGCAGGCCGGCCGGTCGATGAGACACCGGCACCTGGCACCACGTAGGCGGCCGCCGGGGCGAAGAGCAGCGCTGCAAGGAGGAATCGAGCCATGGCCGATGGGGTCTGCCGGAAAAGAGCCTACGCGACTGGCCGCTGAGTGACGAAGGTCTTGCGGGTGGCTTCGTCTTGAAAATGCCGAAAAAGCATCTTGCCGAACATGGAAAGCACACGTGGCGCTCTACGCCGTTGGATTTTTTTGGAGTCCTGTTTTTTGCTGTGCCACCCTGCTGGGGCCTGTTTACCTGCATCAGACATGATTTTTGTCCTGCAGCACATTGTGGATGCCGCAACTTTCAGGCTTCTCGAGACACGTGCGGCTTTGTTGAACCCATTCATCTCCCACTGAACCCCTGCCCACCTGTGCGCAGGGTCAAGCCCCTTCTTACAGTGGATCTGTCGCCGATGTTTGTTTCAGCACATGGCTTGCAAAAACACGTCCGCATTAGTCTTTACAATCATCTTCGCTAGGCCATCGAATGATCCAAGGCTTCCAGTCTCCCTGCTACGTGTGCTGGCTCTGCCATTTCACAGAATCCCGCTGCAAGCCTTCGCTTCAGCGACTTCGACCAAACAGAGCGCCAGGAATTTTGGTCTGGCACGTGGTGATTCTTAGCAGAATGCCTTTCTAGGGCTTCATCTCTCCGGAGTGTAGAATCGAAATGATTTGATAGGTTGAGGCCTGTGATGGGCGGCGTTTTGAGGCCTGGGTCATCCTAGGTCGCACAACTTCGAGAGAGCCAACAATCGGCTCTGCAGTTCTTCTTAGAAACCTTGCAAGCACAGAAACTTCAAAGAGCCTTCGTTAGCTGATTCTTTGCAAGCACCGGGCAAGTGGCCGGCAGTCGTCGATGCGTGCGGTGGCTGTGTAGCCTCCTCTGCCTGCGATGAGACACGGGGCCCGCGGAGCAGGAAGGCTTCCCTCCCCCGAAAACACAGACACACCCGCACCCACACCGCCCACACAGACCCAAACCCAGACCCCTCCGTCCCCCTGCATGCAACATCAAACCGAATTAGAAAAGGGGCATGACCCCCCTTAGCCCATGTGCGAGGACAGCTCACGCACGCACACGGACACACTCTATGTACACACACAGACTTGACACAATGTGTCGGCAGGCCTCAAGTCGTTCTGAAGAGTCAGGAATATCACTCCAAGTCAGGTTGAATCAGTAAGTGTCAGGAATGAGCCTCAATCCTCATGAGTCGTTTTGCCGAATGTATGTATATTTTATTCTATTTTGTTGTATATATTACACTGTATTATATTATATTAGACTATATTATATTATATGATATTATATTATACTTTATTTTACTTTATATTATATTACATATTCTATTATATTATACTATATTATGTTATATTATATATTATATTCTATATTATATTTCATATTTTATGCTATATTCTATATTATATTATAATATATTATATTATATTATATTATATTATATTATATTATATTATATTATATAATATTATATTATATAATATTATATAATATT